GGCGGTCGTCGGCGCCACGACCACCAGCCCTCTCGGTCGGCAGGCTATCCGGAGCCCGCCTAGATGGCGCCGGTTAGAGTGAGCTATCCTACGGAATACCCCGCTGGGTCAGAACCAGCGTGGGTCGAGGATAGCCGGCCTTCCATCACCCGGATGCTCTTGCGTAAAACGCGTGCAGAGCAGCTTGCACGACGTCTTCTTAGGTCCCCCTCGCCGGTCCCCAGACCGACATATGAGGGGGACCCGAAACACTTAGAGGGCCAGGGCTTGGGCGAAATCCGCCTCCCTGGCCCCCGCTCGACGGCGGCGGGCTTGCGCGTCTCTAACGCGCCCCGCCGCCTCCTTCTGCGAGTTGGTGCACTCGCAGAAGTCGAGCATCGCCTTCCACGACTCGTCGTCGCCGAGCATCGATGCCACAACACTCGGCAACGACAAGTCGTTTCCTATTTTTGCGACGAGGACACGGCGCCACCCCTCCCATGCGGGGCAGGCGACGAGCGTATGCTCTGCCGTGTCCAAGTCGCAATCACAATGGTGGCACTCTGCCGTCGGCTCGGCTCTGATCCGGTGCAGGAACTCACCGAAGCAACCATGCCCAGTGAGAACCTGCGTGAGCCGGAAAGTGAGGCGTCCTCTGTCACGATTCACCCAATCCACAAGGACTGGGCGAATCGCCTCGACGGTCCTACGATCAGCCGAAGGATCGGCCAGCCGCCTGGACCATGATTCCAGCACGGTGTGTGAAAAGGCTACAACATTAATAGAATAAAGATACTTATGTGCTCAGTTTTAAATAGGTAGTTACTTAGGAAAGATAAAAAAGGGATTTGTTTTTTTACTACTTATATGGACGATGGAACTCACGGCCCACTAGTGTTAAATGGTTACCAGAGCTCAGTGTAGGTACTTACGTACATATCGAAGGGTATAAGGCTATTTGCTTTAAGCTTTCTCTTAATACGCGATATTTATCTTTGTAATTAAAAATGCGTTTGGTAGGTACACCAACAGTTCGATGTTTTTAACTGAGCTTCAATTAAGTTTACTCCATTGAAATGGCTGAAGAAGTTTTTTGTAATGCCATTTTTTCCAAATTTTAAACTTTACAGGACTAGGCCACCTATGGTGGTAAAATGTAAAGTTGCAAAAATTTCACTTAAACCAAATAGCCTTTCAACCGTCGATATATTTATCGGTTTTACCATGCGTCAAAGCGAAATGCATGATTGTTTTGAAGCCGACGACATGGCTAACTATTCATAACCAGCAACTTAACTACGTTACGCCTTATTATCAGTACCTAACTAGCGACCCGCCCTCGCTTCGCTTCGGAAACTGTAATTTATTATTGATTTCTCCACTATTTAATGGATGTTATTATACATTTTATAAACCTTCCTCTTCAATCACTCTATCTATTAAAAAAAAACCGCATCAAAATCTGTTGCGTAGTTTTAAAGATTTAAGCATACTTTGTTTTATACTATGTAGTGATTATGCAATTTGATAAAACTTACGAGTTTGATTTTTTTAACACAATGTTAATCTGTTATCGCGGAGTCGTTCGTGGACACGCTTTATGTATATTGTATATTTAATGTGTACATATATTGTATATTTGAAGAATTACCTTTTTCAAAATGTATATCCAAAACGCTCGCATAATCATCAGCCTTTGCTAAGTCTCGTGTCATTTTAAATATGCCACCTGGTGGAATGGCAGCGGGATCCTCCAATACCCCAGATTCGTAACTGAACAACAACAACAACAATACTGATGATAATTCTAGCTACTAGTAAGCAAACAGACAACCCATTGAGATTCTCGCCGGATCTTCTCAGTGAGTCACGATTCCGAACCAGTGGTAGATTCAGCAAAAAACTGTTCTTGCTAGGGTAGATGTTAGCAGATTCGTATAGTTTACAGTACTGTTACGTCGCGGTTAGTTTGGATTCATGGCGAGTGATGTTGTGTTGAGGTTGAAACTTTCCCACCAATAAAGCAGTGTCCAAAGGCGCGTTGCATTACTTTATTTTTTTATTTACAATATTGGTAGGCGGGCGAAGGTCACGGCCCACGGTTATTGAAGCTCATAGGCATTCAATATGAGTTCTATTAGTCACCTTGAGGCAAGAGGTCGGATTTTCAATTGTATCGTACTTTTTTTTTATTGCTTAGATGGGTGGACAAGCAGCTCACAGCCCACCTGGTGTTAAGTGGTTACTGGAGCCCATAGACATCCACAACGTAAATGCGCCACCCACCTTGAGATACAAGTTCTAAGGTCTCAAGTATAGTTACAACGGCTGCCCCACCCTTCAAACCGAAACGCATTACTGCTTAACGGCAGAAATAGGCAGGGTGGTGGTACCCACCCGTGCGGACTCACAAGAGGTCCTACCACCAGTAATATTGTATTGTGGATATATAATAAATACCATATTTGTATTGTGATATCTCCATAAAATTAATAAACATTTCGAGGGACTGTGATAACATAGTTCTTGTTTACATATATTATATAATCAATAACAAAAGAGACAAGCTTAGATATAAATTACTACACCTACCTAATATGCATAATATTTTCGTCTGTGGACCAAGGTTCTTTTGGCGTAGCTGAAACGGGTATATTTTCTTTTTTAGCGAACTCAATCAAGTCACTTCTTCCCTGAAACCTCTGGAAGAATTCAGGGATGCGCCACGGTGCTATAATCTGGAAATTTTAAAGTTTTTATAATTTACAACATAGCTAAATTTCTCTGTATTAAGAGAGGCCAAGTCCGCTGCCCAAGTCACCGAGTATGCGAGTAGGACTACGATAATTCGTTTTTGATTTTTATTTGGATTACTAAAAAGAAATGTATCACTTGTCTTTTTATTTTTAGTAAAGACCACACTGACGACACTTCATTTACTGTATGTACATACCTATATTTGTTTCTTTTTTTTTTGTACAGAACATACCTTTCCTTCTGGCCATAACGAATACATGCTTAATTCAAACCGCACTTGGTCATTTCCCTTTCCAGTGGCTCCGTGGGCTATGTATCTGTAATTATTAATGCTTAACTTTGTTTTTATTGCATTAGAGGGGCAAATAGGTTCAGGGTCCATTTGGTGTTAAGTGGTTAGCGGAACCCATCGACGTCACAATGTCGTCACTCAGTAAGATGGAAACTTTAAATTTGAAGTTAATTTGTTTGGTGTTAAGAGGTCACTGCTTCTCATTTCTTTATTAACGTCTTCGAAGGCAGATGAGCGTGTGATGTTGAGTGGTCATCATAACACCGCAACTACGAACCGCTGAAGACTTTTTTAAACCTCGTTTGAAGAAGGACCATAAATAGCGCTCATTAAACGTTACGAAGCAGAGTTCATTCCAGAGCCGGATGGTACGTGGCGAACATACTGGTGGTAGGACCTCTTGTGAGCCCGCGCGGGTAGGTACCACCGCCCTGCCTATTTCTGCCGTGAAGCAGTAATACGTTTGAAGGGTAGGGCAGCTGTTTTAACTATACTGAGATCTTAGAACTTATATCTCAAGGTGGGTGGCGCATTTACGTTGTAGATGTCTATGGGCTCCAGTAACCACTTAACACCAGGTGGGCTGTGAGCCAATCTAAGCAAAAAAAAAAAACACGATTCATAGATAGACACTGAAAACGGCGATTCCAGTTATTATGTAGGTAATGTAATAAATTTTTCGCAAGAGTTTAGATTTTTTTTGGTTTCCTTAAATTAAGATTTGGTTACGCTTGAAGAGAGTATGTTTCGTTAAAAAATAAGCATACTTACTTAGCGCCTAAATTTTTAGCAGTGTTTACGAGGCCGACGGTTATACATGGTCGGGCAAGTGATGTTCCCAAGTAGTAACGACTTTCGTAGACAAGTCCCATTTGTACTGCAGGCAGCATATAATTACATACAAACTCTTTACGAAGATCTTCTACGACTACCTATTAAAAATAAAAAATAAATATTGAAACTTTAATTCAATGAGAGTCATGTGTTTTATGAAAGTGTGCGTAATATTAAGTACTCACATCTTTGGCACCAACTGCTACAGCTTTCTTTTTAGCTTTTTCGAAGTCCTCATTTTGTCCGACATCTGCCATGAAACAGACAACTTCGTAGTTCTTTTGTATTAGCCTATAAGTCGTTTGAAAATTATTACACTTTTACACTCGCACATATTTGTGAACAACATACGTTTGTACACATTAATAGAAATACTCACCATTTTAATATACAACTAGTGTCTAAGCCACCAGAGTATGCGAGAATTACAAGATCTTTAACCATAATTCAATCGTTGTCAACGGAACGTCGATGCGTAACGAATGTTATTATTTGAAACTCAAATAAGAAAACATTGATTTATATTAAGAGAATAAGATAACCTATAGGTCACAGTCGTAATTATTATTATCAATGTTGATTTATTTTATTATGTATAAAGATATGGTGTATTTTGTCAAAGTATGTATTAAAGTCAAATAGCTTAGATATCAAAGGTCAAATCTGGTGATACAAATTTATTTGAAACTGTATTTTTAAATAAACGTAATGTCATGTGACAACGATTTACGATAACCATATTCTGAATTGATTCACGCGTCCTCTGTTCTTTAAAAACAAAGAAAATATGAGAGTTGAAACTCAAGTTTCGTCTCTTCCGAGAATGCGAAGTTTCATTGAAAACCATGGGCAATACCATGGGCATAACCATGGGCTTACCTCAGTCAGTAAGTATCTACAGTCGGCATCATTTCGCCACTTTGAGAAGGCGGCACGACATAAGAACCCTCTTGTCGTGGCCGCTGGAAATTACATACCCGATCCTGTAGACCGAATGGTAAACAGTCGACGTCGCCCAAAACACGTCATTACGGATCCTCCTGATCCATTAACGGTGCTTTTAGGCACCACAAGCACCGGTCACCGTCCTCGTCGAACCCGTCGCGTCGCTTGCGACGAAGGGCTCGATGAGCGAATTAACCTATAGACACAGCCCACTGAGTTTCTCGCCGGATCTTCTCAGTGAGTCACGTTTCCGATCCGGTGGTAGATTCTGCGAAGCACTGCTCTTGCTAGGGCCAGTGTTAGCAACACTCCGGTTTGAGCCCCGTGAGCTCACCCACAGGTTAGGGCAAAGCTGAAATAGCCTCTCAAGGCTATCAGCATAGGAAGGATAGAAGAAAAAGCATCTTATAGAGCCCTTGATGTCGGTTAAGTACCGTTGGTTTAATGTTAACATACTTCTCATACTACACACGATTTTCTCGACTACAAACAGGAAAAAAGGGGGCACCTATGCATTGGGATGGACGGCGGGGCAACGCAAAAACCGCATGGTCCAAAACATGTTTTGTCTGTTGAGCACTGAGTCACACCTATGGAATTGGGAGCATGAAATTATAGTAGTTCTTAGCTAATGTATTTTAATTTTAGCGATAATATTTAAAAGCATAGATGCTGAAGCGTTGTCTAGAGACGGTGATCATCTGTAACATAAAATCAAAGCACATTAAGTAGTTCTTCCATCGTTTCTAGAAATACTTTTTTCCATGTTCATGCAGTTTGGAATAAATTTCTCTACTTAACCTCTCTCTACTCTCTAGCTCTATAAAATATTATTTTTCAAACTCTTATGCATTACTAGCATATTAATTATTGATGACAGCTGACTAGGTAATCCTTTTACAATAAAAATAAAACAACGATAGCTATTATTACGATTTAAATAATTTAATGAAATTTTCAACAATACTGATAGAATTATTCAAACTGGTTAATAATATAATTATTTTAACATTACATTCTATATAATTGCACGATCTGTGGATAACATTATTGTAATAAAATGTGTTAGCTAATAATAAAATTGATCACTGTTAATTTAACGAGCCGAACAGATTCCAAATACATATCTACATAGGTACAGCTATTAACAAAGTTTTATCCAACTAATAATCCAACATTTTTGGTTTATTTTTATTACAGCATTATCATAGTTTCTTTTTTAAATCTACTTAGATTAAGCTTTTTTGTAAAACATGGGATAGGTGCAAAATTTTTGTTAAATTGATTTTTGCAATGAATACAGCCGACTTTACAGATTTCATTGTTCCACGAGCGGCTACTGTAAACTACATAGATCCCTATATATTTAACGTTTTCTACATTGCTTAAAAATATGGAAACATCTCAAATCAGCAAAAGAGAAAAATGTGTTTTATTTATTTGACACCAATGCCAGACTCCATAGGAATGTTTAAAGTTTTTTGTTAAACTTTATTTACACAAATTCTATGGAAATAAAGTTCATTAACCTCTAGCAAATCACAAACTATCTACACGTTATCATTAATAAAAGTTATGACTTACAAGTTGAAACTAAAGACATAAAAAGGGCACATCTTGTGATATGTATATCACTTTTTACATGTTTCAACCAATGTCGACCTTGGATAATTTATTCTGCATCCACTAAACTTAGTTTAAGTTTTTGTTAAATCACTAAACGCTGCACTCGACTTTGCTGACACAGTTGCTAGTGTTCATTTAGAACTAGTTCATCAGTCTGATGTAATCCACTTTTCCATAGATTCTCACAATTTAGTTTTATATAAAACCAAATAACAGATATATAAAATCATTTAAGTAACAACAGATAGATACAAAGTAATAACTAAAATTTTATAAAGGAACTTAAATATGTTAAACTTAATTTGTAAAACTCGTTTAATCTTAGGTGGTGTCCGATTATGCAGATTATTTAAATAAAGTAAAATCTTTTTTCACAGAATTTCACCAAAATTTTGGAACCTATTTTACAGTTGTACAAATTAAGATTAAGGATGATATTGAAATAATATTCAATATGAATCTCATCCAAAAAAAAAACATTCGATTAATAACAAAACAGCCAAAACCGTTCTAAATTCTAATTTTGAAAAGATCTCGATTTATCTCTATTTATGATTCGTTGACATCTTACGTGGATAGAATCATATATGAATACAGTCAAAAGCAAACTGATTTTACACTTAATTTCTACAAAGAAATAAAAGATTTAAAACTACAATTTTTATATTTAAATAATTAATACTTTTATGAAGTTCCAATATGTAGATGTTTTAAATATTAAAGTGAGTAAGCCACACGTATAACTGTATGCAAACTACATAGTATATTTTATTTTATTTACGCTACAAAACCAGCTAAAGCGTTGTTAATACAAAACTGTTTGGTTCATAAACTTGTATAGGTAGGTAACGAATACGGTTTAGTAAGGCGGTATTCTAACTTGCTAAAGAGTCTCATAAATTTTCTTTCACAAAATCATTTCCTCATCGGGGAAGTAATATTTTTTTAGAAATCATCGTCGCATAGGTGATGATCATCCGGCCTTTCTCATTAGGTTCTTGATCAATGTAGGTAAGTAAGCTTCATTAAAGCATAGTTCAGAACACGATATTCGCTCTAAAAGGACATTGATTGTACCTGAATTTGATCAGTAAAATGTGTAGTTCTTCGTGTACAATCCATGTTCTGATATTGTGTGGTTACAGGACTAAGTCATACATGGTAAGTTTTACTTACTAGGCCATATTATTTTTATCATATTGTGTATAACGATCCCGGGATGCCCGATAATTCACAGGTTGTTATAATTAAATGTTTCTCTTCATTATCTTGTTGATCAGACTCATTAGCTTACCTCGCACATAACAGTCGTGATATTCACCTAGATTTTTAACAAGCTAATAGAGAAAGGGTCTATAGTGAACTTGTAAAATTAAAACGATTTTAGGCGGAGAGAGAGCTCAGGTCCGAAAGGAAATTATCCGGAGTGAGTATGTGTGATGATCCGATGATCACCTCCCAGTTCTTGATGGCTGCAGTCACTTCGTAAGCGCAGCGGATCTCGGAGAAGCAAACACCTACGAAAACAAAATATATTATTTGTGAACCGAGACTTTATAGCCGTTAATTGGAAGCGACATTTCATTCAAACGTGAAAAAGTAATTTATGTATGTCAGTGTACAAAAGTGAAATGTTCAGTGTTTTCTTTGTAATTTTTTAATCACCAAACCCCTATATCAAACAATAGTAACATTTGAAAATCCCCTAAATTATAGATGATATAAGTTATATTACTAGTATCTGGTTGGTTTTACTTGTGCATTTATTGATGTGGTGAGGTTAGAAGAAAACAGTGTACCGTTAACCCTTTGCGGTCATAAGACTAATGTCCAATAAGTGCGGACTCTGGACCTCAAAGGGTTAACAAACAATAATCGCCTAATATATCTATTATATCTCAAAAATAAAGAACGAATCGCAAAATTGATATGAGCGCGGTTTTTTAATCTCGGGTGACGTTTATATGGCGACTTACAGAGTCTCTTATTATTTTATAGATTGCAAGTATTTTTTTTATTTTTTTATTGCTTGGATATAGTTATAGTTTGCGTGTTTCACTACATATCATTAATCTAAGTTCCTCCTCTGCTATCCTTTATTAATTTGATATAAAGAAATTATAGAATATTGCCTTTCCAATGAACTTTGTGACATATTTAAATCTGAACTCTGATCTGAAGTTTTACAAAGAGAAACTTTTTTATAAATATTATACCAGTAGACATAATATGTAATGTATATTACCTCCAACAACGAACACAATCAATCTTGGTACGTTCTTGATAGTCTGCTGGGCTTTATCCTTGTGCCAATGTCCGTAACGAACGCTAGAACAGAGATTAGTTTTTGATATTCGTATTTTAATGTATTTTTTGTCTAGGTGGGCAAACAAGTTAACCAGGCTCACTCTGCTGTTAATTGGTTACCCAATTATGTAGACATTACAACGAGATTGCAGGCACTTAACAGATAATAGCACGTTCCCTTGCAGGTTCACATTAGGATATATTACGCCCATCAGTAAAGCAGTGAGCATACACAGCATACTATGTTAATTTTAAATTATCTTAGTTTTACATCAACCTTCATTAGCAACGATAGCTTGTCATGAGCAAATCAGGATAGTACTTCGTGAATTGTTAAGTTAATTTTGTTATATAATTCAAGGGGAAACAACAGCAGAAAAACGATGAGAAAATAATAGTAGGAGCTCACATTTCTCTACCTTCTGTCATTTTAGAGACTATTGTGTTGAAATTCTATATTCTTATAATTTATACAAATATACCTTGTTGGTGCTTGATACCCTGAGGTCTGTGCTCTTCCAGCCAGGAAGGGGAAATGTCTTTGATCCAACTTGTCCTCGATAGCATCTTCCATGATGTCCTGGGAAAATTATAAAAATACATTTTATAGAACTTTGCTTAGCATCGATTTGTCTGGAGTGTCAAAGTTAGTTGGAAGGTAAAACCAAATTGACACCAAAAATATTGGAAATATTAACAATTTGTATCTAGTAAGTCTTGTGCTTATACAGCACACAATCACAGCACTGCTTCTATCGTTCTAACTTAAGGAGCTCAGGACCACATGCTAATTGCTGACTAATTCTTGGATAGACTCTGACCATATTCCAAAAACTCTTGTTCATTTACCTTGATGACAGGTGTCCATCGTGACATTTGATAAGTTTGCTCAGTGATTCTTTCCTTTCTGGGAACTTGATACTGCTTCTTACGGTTTCCCTGTAGTTGGTAAAAGAGAATATTTTTAAACAGTGTCACAAAAGTAGAAATGTCATTTTTTTACTTGGAAAAGGTTTTTTTTAATGTTTTGTTTCTGATAAGGTTTCTTTATTATTCAATGCTTTGTTATCTAAGAATAACTTTTAAATACAAAAAAAAACATATTATGTTCTCAGCTCTCCATACAGGACGCATTCAATAAATAATAAAACATTAATAGCAGATTTCTAAAAATCAAATTCTATGCAGTATTTCTGGATTTTTTTTTTTTTTATTGCTTAGGTGAGTGGACGAGCTCACAGCCCACCTGGTGTTAAGTGGTTACTGGAGCCCATAGACATCTACAATCTACAAATGCGCCACCCACCTTGAGATATAAGTTCTAAGGTCTCAATTATAGTTACAACGGCTGCCCCACCCTTCAAACCGAAACGCATTACTGCTTCACGGCAGAAATAGGCAGGGTGGTGGTACCTACCCGTGCGGACACACAAGAGGTCCTACCACCAGTAATTACGCAAATTATAATTTTGCGGGTTCCATTTTTATTACACGATGTTATTCCTTCACTGTGGAAATCAATCGTGAACATTTGTTGAGTACGTAATTCATTAGAAAAATTGGTCCCGCCTGGGATTCGAACACCGGTGCATCGCTCAACACGAATGCACCGGACGTCTTATCCGTTAGGCCACGACGACTTCAATTGTGTTAGGACTTTAGACTATGTTGCAATATAAATATGGCATGGTTCCGCTTGCCATTGCCGATACATTACGTTGAAATGTAATTACGGAAATAGGTTGTTAACAACGCAATACATACATCAACTACCACATTGAGGCCCACGTTGGCGAGGTTCAGGATGGTTTGCTTGTCAGAGGGCTCAAGCTGTGCATGTTTAACTAGTTTGTTGAGATTCTCTTCAGAGATGCCATTTTTTGCCATCACATACAAAGCAATAATGCGCATCTTGTTGAAGTTTACTACTGTCTAGAATCAAACAAATTATGTTAGTTATGATTATAAGCGTAATTTCTTTCAATAGCAAAGAAATTAATTACAGTGGTCACAGGTGAGCAGTTTGGAGAAAAAAACGTGAATAGTTTAAAACAGAAAATTAATTTTAAATAGTAGAATTTTAGTCAAATTGGCTCATTTTTATGTCGTCAGAGTTTCAGGTATGTTCATTATTACCTGATCCAGAAGAACGGGAACAATGCTTCGCATATGATCTTTGATTTTCTCACCATCGGCATCAGTGCCCATGGCAAGATCCTGAAACATAATAAAAGAATTTGAATTAAAATCAAAATATCCCTATTTTTCAAAGATACATCTATTTGGCACAATACAGTCCTGTTTCATTAAGAAGTAGAATTATAGACTATCTTTCATCCTGCTGTTGGGTATGCGTCTTCACAGATGTAGACGAAGTTGCAAGCGAAATCCTCATGTGAGTCAGATCTTTGAGTCTAAAATCTCACCTGTTCAACTTTGCAGAGTTTGTCTACATATCCTTGGTAGCTTTTCATGCAATCTTCAGCAAGGCGCAAATGTGTTGCATATTTAGACAGCTCTTTTTGATATTGAGGCATTTTCTTTATCATTTGCGACAGGTCCCTCATAGATTGTTTGTCACCTGTAAAAATTGAACATTTTAGCGGCTGAGTAACTTAAGCTATCAACTTGTTAATTATCAGTTTTTAAACTGTTACAACAATCCATATTGTAAATATTTTTACCACCGCTACTGCTAGTTGTCTATATGTTTTCAATAATGTTTAGGTAGTGAGGAGTAATTTGACAAGACTAACCGCCACCCATGCGTTTGGACTCGGTGAATTTCTTCAGATTCTTTGTAACTGCTGTAGAGACCACAGCAATATGCTGGTGCCGCAATTCGACCCATAAGTCATCATTTTCATCCAAGAGAACTTCCTTTAACTGCCCCTGGGATGCATCATACCTGACAAATTCGGAAATAGTCTTTTGGAGTGTTTGAATTTCATTTATTTTTATCTCAACTCTCAAATACCACTGTCAGTGTTCAAAGGTTACTAAAGATTATTTAGATAAGGTCCATATATAGCATGCCAAAATACTGGTAGTAAATGGGTCATTTATTAATTAATTTATTTATTTATTTAAACTATTTGATGTATTTTTCAATGTAATGCATACTATGTAATTTCTGCTGAATTGTAAATGTTATTTGAAAATCAGTAGTCATTGTTAACCCGCATAGATAGGTACCACCGCTTATTCCTGCTATGAAACAGTCCTTAATCCCGGTTTCAAAGATAAAACAGCAGTTACACATTTCAATCTCAAGTTGAGTTCACATTCGCTTTATGATGTTTGTAGGCAGTACACAGTTGATACATACAGGATGACTCATCTCATCAAATTCATTATAAGGTTTATTGGTTCATTTCTTACTTGTAAACATCATTTTCAATAGGCAGAAGATCATAAGCCATGGCCTGAAGAGTTAGTTCGTGTAGTAACGGAGACACGCAGTCGAACCCGCGGTCCAGAACGAGAAGCTGAGAGCGGGCTTTTTCTGGTCCTTCGCCCATAGTTGGTTCGTCAGCCTTAAATGTGGAGAATAAATTTAAAATATACAATTTTCAACTACGTATCAAAATCATAACCGAGCGTCTACTCATTTTATTTTACTATTCTGAAAGAATTTCTGATATTTTAGTTTTCTTTCATTCTTTCTTTCATTCAACATTTTTCAACATGTCCGGGCTTGCGATACGCCTTACCAGCACTAAAAATCGTTTGGCGAACGCAGTATGCTAGTATAATGCTCGAGAATAACGGTTCACGTTTTCAGTACTCACACTGTCCATGTACATCCCATTTATTTATGAAACCATTCACTAAATAATCTGATATGCACTCGTACTCATTTTGTATATCTCTTGTAATTGAAATACATTTATCTATAGCATTTAAATATCAATTATTACCTTATAAGCATCAAGTTTCTGTTGGATTAGTTGAGCTAACTCAACATTGCGTTCCCAATCACTGAAAAAATTCGAGTTGTTTTAAGGGTTTTACAAAACCAGAGTGTTCGATTTTAAAGTTTAGATTACAGAAAGAAAGATATCAAACCTGCGGTATCGAACGGAAGGATATTCGCCGAGCGTGGCACAGAGGGTCGCGATTTGTTCAGCAATACGTTCCATGTTTGCGTTACGAGTCTGTGCTAGAGCTGGGTTGTACATGCATTGGAATGTTTCAGGTGAATCCAATGAAAATACCTATAATAAATATATCTTTAAATTATTTTTGTATCACATCATATCATCGTGGCACATTTTTTTACATAGAAGATATGTATATGAGAAGAACCTAGGGATTAACTAATGGTTTGCTTTGCTACGACAAAGGATAATGAAAATGTCGGGGTCATTCGCAAAGTACAGTCAAGTTGGCTTTGAAACTATTGGGAGTCCTTAAAAGAGCGAAGCGGTAATTCATGCTTCGCGCTGAGTGTTATCCTATCCTTGAGGTCCTCTCTTTGAGGTGGGACTTCCAAATAACCCATACTTCATCTGGCCTTGGAAAGAACTTCCCTCTACGGTATTTCCTGTGCTCTATAACATGATAATGAGAGCAAGTGAGCACTCAGAATCAGATGAGTCGCGTGTTTGTATGCTTGTAGAGGTAAAAAAAAAAGTATCAATAATTAAATAAGTATTATTAGGAATTTTCAGTTACTTAATGGACACAAATGCTTTGTAAATGTATCAAGAGATGCTGAAGTTCATCATTTGTATCCAATCGAATTTTTTGACAAGATATTCTCATTAGGCATGGGTATTTTACTCTCTATACACTGGATCACTGAGGTAATCGATAGGAAGTGCTTATAATCTAATGCTTGTATTTAATTCATTATATTTATTATTAGATATTTAATTTTAGATTACAGTGAAGTACAACCAGGCTTCACTAGTGTTTTAATTTAGATAAAAACATATATGGATATGATTTTATCTATATTAAAATTAAACAGCATATTCTCAACAAAGCATAAATTACCTGGCTTTCATAAGGCAAGAAAGCAATGTTGATTTCCTTTAACGTTTTGATTTTTCTTGCAGCAGAAGACTTGCAGAGTTCATTGAACAGTTCCTCTGGGCACACTAATGATTAGCAGCGTGCAAAGAAATTATCACATTTTCCAGTCAATGACCTCACATCACATGTTTGATTTCAAGGATTTGTCTGCTATTATTACATGAATACAAGTGAAAAACATTTTCACATTTGAACTGAACAATGACTATGAGGAATACTGGTTGCATTTAGGCTTGATTTATTCTACTTGTTATATATATATAAAGTTTTTAGTTAAATACTGATAAAAACTGACCTGCTGTTCATATGGAATGAAAGCAATGTTGATTTCCTTTAATGTTTTAATATATTTGGCTATTTGGCTACGGGATAACTCATTAAACAGAATATCAGGACAAGCTGTAAAATAAAATGTGCAATGCAACTAAATGGATAAAAGAAAAGTGCATACAATATTATCATACATTATCCAAATTAAATGATTATTAAACTGATCAATAAACACAATCTTTAATTAATACAAAAAATAAAGCTGAATAATGTATGTCATGTAAGCAAAATATTTTTGACAAAAATCATACCTTCAGTGAAGAAAACATGAGCAGCTCTGTACATGATGCGGTTACCGACAGCAAAGTCATTGATCAGAGCATGCACTGATTTCTCAGAAGGAGTGATGAGGTAAATACCATCCATAGTGCATAAAGGTTCACGTTTCTTGTGAATGTCCTCAACCACTAAATTAAGATGAAATGGATTAAGTATCATTTTTATGTATTTCAAGATTTTCATAAGTTTTAAACTTGATTTTCCTGTATGGGTAGTACCACCTTAATGGCTATTTATACCATAGAGCAACAAAGTGCTGCTGTTTATATATGAGGGCATTAATTGTTAAATTGTGTAATTGTAAAATGCTACTGAGAATTATTTTCTGTAGAGAGAATGATCTCTATGGGCTTCAATTACTACTTAGAATGAGTAGGCAAGTGTACCCATCTTATCTAATAAAAAGTAACTTACAGGTAATTCCTTCAGCAGATATATCATGCATTTTGCAGCAAGCTGAGACCATGCGCATGGACAGTTGGTCTACTATTAAAACTCTCCATTCTATTCTAGCTGATTCCTTGCCTTTGGGTCCGCGATAGCGGATCACTTCATTCATAATCTCTGTAAATAAAGTTTAAAACAAGTAAAATATACTATTGAACATAGTCTATACCATAACAGTACAGTTATGTTATTAAAAACGGTTCAAATAATATCTTAATACTAAGATATAGTAATGAAAGTTTATTTTGAATGACCGTGAAGAAGATGTGTATCAAAGTTTTGAGTTGTAGAGTGGAATCACCATCATACACTACTATTAACTTCAACTTAGAACTCATGTCTAAAGAGCGATGATGACAATGACGTCTCCATGTCGATGGACTCCAGTAACGACTTAAAATAAGATGAGCCGTAAGCCCATTTGATAGTTTAATCGATAAAAGTATCTGCTGTATTTTAGTTTCTTTATGTTCAATATTTTTCGATAAACTTATTAACCACATTGGCATTATAATTATTTTTTGATAATGGCTAGTTTTGAATTCTCTCCATTTTAAATTCGCTTATAAATTGAAAAAGCGCAGATGACGTACATAACGTTTTCCCCATCCCCCACCCCCGGCGGCCTATGAAAATCAATACGACTGACATTTTCAGCACTGTAAATATCATGCAACGTTATGCTTTATTATTAGGTACTACGCGACTAAGTTTTTCTCTTCACGATAGAAATATTTCAGATACTGTTTACCTAACAAACATATTAAAAATTGAAGTTAATTTCTTCGCTTGAATCTCATGATTATTTCATAGAAGAAAATTAAAATTATTGAAATGATGATTCTATGGTATTAAAGAAAAATTGTGGGAAAATTCACGGTTTATTGAAATTATAATTAAAGATTAGCGCGACACCTACTTTGTATGTTGTTATTAGTCATCGATAAGAACCGAGAATTTAACTATCGATGTCATTTTTTTAAATTGTTTAAAAATATCAAAACTTAATTGTAAGCATATGACGTATGATAATTTACATGTAAAAGTCTTGATAGTTAAATAATATCAAAGTAAATTATGATTTGTAACTCACTTTGTCCGACAAGTGCTTTCAGAGCCATTTTGAACCGTAGATTAGTGAAGTCAGAATTTACTGGGAGTGAGAGCAACTGACAAATAGAGCAAACGTCAATCAATACCTCTTCTTTATTTTTTGGCTCCGTCACGATTTGTGCATTAGCCAGCGTCAAGTAATAAGATTTTTATAATCCGCCGTTTTAATTATTTACAGTTTATGAATAATAAAAAACGAAGGAAACTAATCGCGAAATAACATAAATGATTAAAAGCGAATTAAATTTACAAATGAGAGGATATGTGAGTCGTCTATTATCAAAGGTGGCAATCTGTACATTTGGACAAAAAAAATTTATTGATATGTCAATACAGATTTATTTGAATATAATCGTCTCCTTCAAAGAATACGGTTCAAAACCTGCATTAAATAAAGGTTAATAGTTAACCTGTTATTTATCTAAGATGTCGTTCCGAAGAGTTTTGTGACTGCCAATGGAATACAAAGTCAATAATTCGTTTTTCTGATTTACCAATCATTGTCCAAAAGTCAGATTGCCGCCTTTGATAATAGTCGACTCATGTGATGAAATATAATCTCAGTAAAATGGTAGTCGTTTACTGAGACTTTTTCAGTGGACTTTTTGGAGGATCCCGAGAAGCTACTAGAGCTAAAGAAATACTAAATAGACAAAATAAAACTCAAATTTGTATGCAGTTGGAACAGCGCCCCTAGCGGTAAACGTAGGCAAACGTTCCTACTCCATACAAATTTCTAGTTAACTTCTACGCGATCGAGAAGTTAAAAAACTCGCACTAAGCACATTGTTACTTGCGATACCATTACTGCCGGTATCGAGTTTACAAATCTTCAATTATCATAAATGGGATAATTATTGTTCTAGAAATGGGATGAAGTTCATTTAATTGAGACTGTAATTATTATTAATCGAGATCATATGAAATGAAACGAAATAAAATCGTAGTAAAATGGTGGCTATTTACCTACTGATTGCTGACTGCATTGGACCTCATGGAATAATCCGAGAAGCCACGTCGGCGCTTATCTGTCGTTTTTCAATCGGTTAATAAACCACATTTAATAAGCGCTTAAATGAAATACAATAAATAGAGGCTTCTAAAATATGTCCTAAACTAAAAATTTGGCATGCGTTTTCTATGATAAAACAACGAGTTAATTAAAGAAAGAATGAAATGAAATGAAAGCCACAAGTTACATAATTATTATCATCAACAACACAAATCCGATAAGTATCATTTTCTCCTATTTTTGTTAGCTATTTTACTTGCTGTATAAAGAGCTTCAGTAAAACCAATAAAAAGCGTGTTAATACAGCTAAACGGTAGACAGACAGAGAGAGAGACAAAATGGAGATTTTTAATCTTGTGGGCGGGCCAATACAAAATAAAAGGAAAGATGTATATTTCTTTCTCTGTCTTTAACATAGAATAAACGAGTAATATTTATAGAATAGACATAGGCGTGCTTCAAAATAGAAGTGCAACAACAATCAATCAGTTTCTTGTTTACTGTTGCGCAAACTGAACGTGTAGAAAAGTACTGTTGCGATGTTCTTATCACGTGTACGTTAATGAACAAAATTATTCGCAAAAGAATGCGATAGTCCGAAAAGGTGAATGGTGTGATTTAATTTTATAATCTTCAGATTTATTCTTTTTGCATTATTTGATGTTTAAATTACTTTATTTAAACATGATTATTAATTAAAAAATACTTTATTGGAACGATTCAACTTTCAAATTAATGATCACTAGACATGAAAAATATAAAATAAGTTTTTTGTAGATTAACGCTAAATTTTATGTTTAAATAAGATATTGATAACATTAAGGATTTTCCGTCGCGATTATTAATATTTTATAGAACTGTTTCTTATTAATCTAGTAATCTTTAAAGAGGCAAGGAACTAGAAGCTCGTATATTATTTCGGAAATGACTGTTCTTGAAAGTCTGTTAGGAGACGTGTTATCACCGTTTGTTTGAAATGTTTTTATATCGACAGTTGGTGAAAGTGGAGTACAGTGATTGAAGACTGCGATTTTTTTGTGTTCAATTAGTCCCAGTGAACTTTGTGAAATGTTTTAAAGATTTAAATGTTTATTTCATAAGTGAAACGGGTATAAGTGCTGTGCCATTTTAAATGAAGATGAAAGGTGATGGGCTAATGGTGGTGATCAAGTATCCGTGCCGCGTAGAAGGATGGGTTGAAAGATGCGGTAAGCTGTTTCAATTTCTTTGTTGTAATTACGCTTTTTGGCGGAACCGAAATTCATTAAAGCTATCACCTAAGTTTGTTTATTTAAAAAAGAGGGTATTTAATAACAGCTATCGTACTTTTTAAATGTTGTGGTCATTAAAGAATAAAAGCAAATTACTGGCAAAACGCTACGCACAGACAGTTATTATGATCGCCGCATTTCATGAATCGTGAGTTATTTGGGGCATTTTACGTAAGTGCTCAATCAGTGACATGTACGTATGCAAGTAATAAAGGTCAAATTCTTTGGCAATTACAATAAAAGTGGTGTTGCTCGTTATTTTAGTACTGAGCTAGTATTTTGATTTTGAGTGAGATGTTTTATTCTTGTAATACACACAAAGAAATAAAGCTCATTTTCCTATGTTATATCACTGTTTACATGAAGTATAATTAAGCAAAAGGAAATAGCATCTTTTTAATCATCTTTCCTCGATGTTACCTCATTTATTAAAAAACGGAAATAGAATGCTCTTCAGTTGTGAGTGAGTTTAATGGTTGAACGCATTTTATTTTGTGACCCACGATGTATTTTTATTTAGATACTCGATGCTTTGTATAACGGTACTAATCGATTTATTAACAATTAACATATTATGTATACGTTTGTATGAAGATAAGTTCTTGTAGGTAACTTATGGTAGGTTATTGATTTATAAATAACTCTGTATGTCATTCGATCTTCTAGAGAAATTTAATTGCAATATTTCATTTTCTTCAAGACATTAACATGTTATATTGCTGTCTCTATCGATACTTATATGTACCCTTACTTTTTAAGGCCTTGGTTCAATTATTTTTATCCTACCTAATCGTTGGTAGCCTAAGTGGCTATTCCAACTTCGCGCGGACCGGTAGGTGAGTGAGGTCACGGACTCAACCTGAGAATTGCTAACACAAGCCCTAGCAAGAGCAGTGCTTCGCTGAATCTACTACCGAATCGGAATCGCGACCCACCAAGAAGATCCGGCGAGAAACTCATTGGGTTGTGTCAATGGGATAGTGCGCACGTCGAGCTCAGTCGACGAGTTCGACGAGGACGGTGACCGGGAGACTCAAAGAAACGGGAACTCAAAGAACGTCCTTGCGATTCTCAGTGTTCCCAGAGTGGGTAAAAAATCACTCTGTCACTTTCGAAAGAAAAATATTTATAGGCCTGTAATAGTATAGGCGAGGTGCTCGGTTAGGTAATTTTCTTAGAGATATATGAACATTGCGGTTTTTTTCTATTAAGACACTGCTTCTGAATCAACGTCTTTGTGATAAAATGATTGGGGTTCTGGGTCACTCATGCCTCGCATGTTTCCGGTATCCTTATCACAACGGAACATCCTAGCCCGAGGCTGTGTCACGAATGTGAAACGTTCATTTATAATACCATTAAGAAATCGATCGTGATTGGAGTTTATCGTAGTAATGCAAATCGAATGAGAAAATAATTAGCTTGTTAGTGGACGACGATAGCGTCAAAATAGCAGCAGGTCGGTTGTGTATGTCCTACTTAGAGTGAAAACTATACGCCGTTGTGGTTTTCTATCGAGTTACGGTCCATCAAGCTGAGCCCGTTGACTCGCTTTCTAGCCTTAATGAAGGGCCTCGTAATAAACACTCATTATATAATCTGCATGAAACCGTTTAGAAAGGTTTCGAATTTGGAAAATATGCAAAACTGTTTAAAAGACGATTTGATACATTATATCACCTGCTATTTTTACTACATTTTATTGCATTGATGGTTAGACGAGCTCACAGCCCGTTTGGTGTTAAGTGGTTACCGGAGCCCATAGACATCTACAACGTAAATGCCGCCACCCACCTTGAGATAAGAGTTCTAAAGTCTCAGTATAGTTACGGCTGCCACACCCTTCAAACCGAACATATCATAGAATGTTGTGCCATTAAAACAATGAATGCCAAAATTTATAGTTCTGCATCAAAATTAAGGGCTTTCGCAGCCGTTGTACTGTAAAAACAGTGACTCAGAGTCCGTGTCTCTTCAGATGGGCGGCGGAATTAACGTGATTGATATCTATGGGCACGGTTACCGCTTAATACCAGTGTGCTTAAGGCGAGTTTTTTAACTTCTAAATCGCGTAAAAGTTAACTCAAATTTGGGATTGGAACAAACCCAATGCGTTTGCCGCTAGGGACACTGTTCTAACTCCTTACAAAATTAAATA